AATTTTATTTGTTAACTAAAGCATGTTTGACTATGACTTGAAATAGTGAGTTTTGCAAATATTATTAATTGTGTATCAAAGTAAAATTTTTATTATTAAATTCAAATAAATTAAATTTCTGAAGTATTGGAGTGTGGCAACTTAGTAAAGTGAATAAGTTGTTAACTCTTTAAGTAGTAGATTAGAAATTCAAAACCTACAAACAGCAAAAATTTAAAAAACAACTTATATAATATTAGTATTACAGAAGGTAAGTAATATTATAGAAATAGCATTCTGTCAATCAGTTAGGATCAGATACCTGTAGCTATAGTCTCATCAGCATTCTAGCAGATCATAAAGCATCTGTGCAATGTTGGAGTTATACAGAAAAATGCAAACTGGCATTAGGCATTGCAAATACAAAATAAGTTTTCATAGCTATATAAATCTGTAGAACTGAGAAAAGCTGAAGCCCACTAGGAAAAACCTAAATAAAGAGATAGCACAAATCTTTGACAGTGCTACTGTAAAGACTAAATCTAGAAAACAGATACCAATGTGAAAAAATCAGATAGGCAAGAACCTTGGATAAGGGGTACTATCAACCAGATTATCAAAAGTCTCAAATCAAAAGAAAAAGATCTTGGAGAGGCAGATCTTTAAGATATCAAAAACAGATTACAGTCTTTTCAGACTATCTGAATTGGGAGTCTGAGAATAAAAGCAGAGGTATACTATAAGTACTAAAAATATATTATAAAGTTGGTACTAGGGTTTGGGTAAACTTTACAAAGATAAGTCCTGTTAATAATAAAGATTAAATATAAGTAATTAATTAGCAGAAAAGCCTTCTGAAGTCTTACAGTCAGGTGATATATTCTAAAATATGTAATAACTTGATGAATATACAAAAAGAAAGGTTTATAGTAAGTTAGACAGCACTTAAATATATAGGAACTTGTGTATTATTTGTTTGATATAGTATAGTAATCAGAGTATTTAAATAGATAATTTTCTAGTAGATTGCAGATATGGCAGCTAGTGTAAAACCTGCTATGTGAGCAGACTACATAAAATAGGTAACCAAAAGTTATATATGTGCCTAGTTGTATACTCACCATCTACAAGTTATATAAACAAATATGTAAATATAATTAAAATTACAATAAAGACTATAGTTACCAATACCAACTGCCTTAGTATAAGAAAAAAAAATTCTGAAGTATTTTTGTAATTATATAGTACTTATAAAAAATAATTATTTTTATAAAATTTATTTTAGAATATTAAATTAATCCATTCTAAAAATGTTTATTTTTTAAAATTGAATCTAAATATTTATGTATTAAGTAGTACTCAAAATGATCAGAAAAGCCCAAATAACTTGAATTTTAAATCTAAGATAAAAATACATCATATAATTTAAATATGATCTATTTAATGATTATTATTAAAAATTTTTTTTATTATCATTATCATTATTAGCAATAATGATTTTAATTAAACATAATGAATTTAAGCTTAATCTTGTCAAATCTAATACTGAAATTGAGATTTAGTTATTTACATCTATTACATCTAGCAGTAATAATAATAATAATAAAGTGATAGATTGTCAACCCCCAAGTGGCAAGTCTAGAGTTCAAATCTCAGTAATAGCAAAACTTTGCAATTCTTTCTGTATTATAGCTAATGGTTTTATGTGATAGATTAGAATAAGATATCTGTAATCTGTGTTATACCAGCATGACTGAAAGGTCTAGGCACTCATACAATGTTGTATGAAAAAACACAAACTGGTACTGGGTGATGTGAACTCAAGATAAGTTCTTAGGCCATGTAAATCATAGGAACTAGGTAGAAAGATGGAAGCCCACTTGGAAGACCTAAGTAGAGAGGTAACCCAAACCTTCAACAGTGCTACTGTAAAGACTAGATTTATAAAACAGAGCTAGAACTTGTGAAACTGGGCAAATGTGTCAGTCTTTGTTAAGAGACCAGATAAACTAACCAGGCTGCTAGAATTTTCAGGTTTTGAAAGAAAAGGGTACATGCTGGCAAATATGTAAACCAAAGGTACAGTCTTACTCTACCTTTCCAAGCTATCTGGAATGGCAGCTTGGTAGAACTTGAATTAAATACCAAAGTAGTAAGGATATGTTATGAAGTCTGTATCAGTGTTGGAGTGAACTCTACAAGAGCATAGTGGTTTAATGGTGCACCCTGACTACCAGTGTTGGTCTTGGCCATAGCGATATCAGATCAGCTGTAAGAATGGAATACAGAAGATTCTGGAAGGTTTAGTACAAGGTCAAAGGTTTCTTATATGAGTGAACTGCTTTAAAGACTTAGTGGCCATAGCATATTTTTACCAGCATCGGCTGGGGTTATTGGTAGACAGAGGTAGATGGGTGGATATGAAAACAGAGTAGTTAAATAAGAAATCTACAAGTGGGTTCCAGGTATAGCAGCTAGTGTAGAACCTTCGGACAGACTACTTAAATTAGACAATAACTAAAGTTATATAAGTGACTAGTTGTACACTCTTCCTATAGTTGCCCACTGTAGTTGTAAAGCATCTATTAGCCAAATATACTATTAATAAAATCCTAGGTTACAAGTATTCATCTTAAAATTTAAAAATAATAATAATAATAATAATAAAGTTTTCTTTAAAAAATAAACAATTTTGTGAAGTAAGTTTATTTGTGAAAGGCTGTTTAAAGAAAAAGATCTTTCATTAGAATGTTCAGATATACAAATATATTATAAAGTGTTATATCTTATTTGTTCTAATAATAAAAAAAGAAAATTTGGTTTTACAAAATTGGTAATTCCAATATAACAAATCTTTAACACCATTTTGAAAAATATTATTCAAATAGTAATCCAAAAAAAAAAATATTTTTAAAATTTATACAATCTGAATTCAGAAAATTAAATACTAAATAAATAGTTCTGAATAGTTTGTTATTTATAACTATTGAAAATAAACATTTTTAACAAATAATAAAATTACTAAACCCAAATATACATATTTCTATAGGAGACATAATAAAAAATAACATTATGAATATCTTTGAAAATGAACATATAAGTATGAAATGTTTGGTTCAAAATGTTTTAGAAAAGCTCTCATACACAATTGATATATAAACATCAATAAATGTTGAATTATATTTTAATATCACAATGCATTAAATTTTAAAAAACTAGAAGTTTAAAAATATTTTATTAGATTTTATTAACTTTAGTGATCCTAATTCTGATAAAAGCCTATATAATGAAGCTGTTGTAAATTTGAAATTTTATCAAAGATTTTTGTAATTATAAATGACAATACTATAAATAATAATATTTTTATAAAACATTTAGAATATATATATATAAATAACTGTATCAATTTTAATGCTAAAGAATTATATTATTAATATGTTATCATATTTTGAATTTAACTAATCAAGAAATAATTAAGCAATTCAAAGTTGACAAAGTACAACATGAGAATATTATATTAGATAATATAGATGCAACTATAAAGGCTGAAAAAATAATTCTAAAACTTCAAAAATTTATTGTTAAAATTAGATTATTATCATAATGTTGAAAAAAATTTATATACCAGATTCAAGTTACTAATTTTTCAAATCATAATTTTATTCTAAATATAGTAACAAGGTAAAATTCCATTTATTATATGCTTGAATAGACACTAGAAATGTATGAGGCATTAGATACAACTCAAGCTTAGATAAAAATCTTAAATTATTATAGCTTAATAATGATGAATAGATTAAAATTAAAGAGATAATAAATATTTTAAAATGTTTATACAAATAATTAATATGATTTTATTAGCAAAGTATTCAATATTTGCTTATGTTATATTGATTTATAATTATTTAATTAATGAACTTAAAATCTATTACAATGATTTTAATAATTTTCATGAGATTGTTATTGCATTAAGTGCAGATCTAAATAAGTTAAAATCATATTATATAAAAACCAATGGTACAACTATTTATAATATTGCAATTAAAGAAATAGGTTTTCATATTCTAGTGATCTAGATGCTTCTCTTTCTACAGACAAGGTTAATGAATCAATTCTAGTTAGAAACAAAAACTTGTAATCTATAGAAGCATATAAATATATATGAAACCCTGTGATTAAGTCCATGTAAATAGAAAATCAATGTATAAGGAAGTTCCTAGAAAAAAGTTTTCCAATATGGAGAGTTGACACTTGATGTGAGAGAAATAATGAACATATCAGAAATAAAAAGAAGACACACTGATGGGTGATATGATAAATATAAAAGAAAATTATAGAAAAGAAATGTACTTAGTAAAATTCGAACACATCTTGCATTAAAACTGATTTAGTAGATACAGAATACACTAAATTGAATTTAAGTAGTAATCTTGGTGTTAGCTTAGTAAATTTGCATTAAAGATAAATTCAAAAGAATATGGATACTTAGTAACATTCAATGAGGTGATACTTTGATATAAATAGTAACTAAGATAACCTTAATTTGATATGTTACTACAATGGTAATGTAAGTATTACATATATATGCAATAAGTGTTGAAAATCAGAAAGTTAAATACAGAACTTATAGGCAGGTCTCAGGTATGGCATCTAGTGGGTAACCTATGGGTGGAACCCTTAATTAGATAATGACTAAAGTTATATGTATGACTAGTTGTACTTTCATTAATAGACTATTGTATATAAAATATGTAATCATATGTTACTTAATAAAAACACACAGGCAAGATTGCTGCTTCAAACTAAAAAAATATAATAATATTGCAATTGTACTTGATTCATGCTAAAATTGTATTATTATGAGGAACACAAATGAAACCAAGATTTAATTGAAAACATCAAAAAGACCATATTCAATATTTATAGAAATAATTATGAATTATGTTTTTACAAAACTACTAATTATAGTTAGAAAAATGATATTATTAATGATGATGATAATTCTCTTTTAGATTATATTTATGGAAATAGAAAAAGGTGTAAGGTTGAACAGCAAAATGAAGTTGAATTATATCTGAGCACACCACGAGCAAACAGAAAACAAAATGTTCTTAAATGGTGAAAGGATCATGAATTTGAATATCCACGCTTAGCTATGATGGCTAGAGATTATCATGCAATTAATGCGACTAGTGTTCCGGTCGAACGGATATTTTCTGAAGGAGCCGACTTAATTGATGTTAAAAGAAGTTGTCTCAGAGCTGATACTATTCGGTCATACATGTGTCTTAATTCGTGGTGGAAATAAAGTATCATTTAGAAAATCATTTGACACCTTAAAGCATAGTGATAATACTGTAATTAATTGATATAAATTATCAGCTGCTAAAGAATAATATAAATTAAGTGTATTTCTGTATTTAAAAGTGATGTTTCTTTAACTTGTAAAAACCCGGGTTTTGTTCTGGTCAAGTATAGGCCGACCCGATCAACTCCCGAACGACCGTTTCGGAGCACTAGTATTAAGTGTAAGTCGATCGTATATATGATAAAACCATGGAGAAGCCAAAGGTTTATATTGAATACCTCACTAACAATGTGCAATATTGGGAATTTAAGACTTGTAGTTTGCGAGTGTCATCCAGTAGTATATACATGAAAGTATGTTATGCAAGTGTATGTCGTATAGTCGTGATATAACATGAAAATTAATTTGGAAATTAACACCCATGCGCGATTTGAAATAACACGCGTCCTTTAACAAAGCATCAACAAATTTGAACGCGTAGCAAGTTCAAACAATTGACTCTTGATTTCGAAATAACGTATCGAAATAATGCTCAAGAGAATAAAATAACGTATAGAATTGGCTTAATAATTTCTTTATTTAAATTGAAATAAAAGTTGTACATATCTTATACATCTATTTCTTCTTTTTTCTCGATTTTTTTTTTATACAATATAACGGTATGAAAAGAATTTATGCGATTTATAAAATACACACCCACCCAAAATTAAGATCTAAAATTAGCCATCCAGAGGGAATCGAAGGACCCACAATCCCTACACGCTTTAGCTAGCAAAATTCTGGTTTTGACTGTTTTTAATCAAAAGAACAAAAGCGTAATTTTGCTGTCATGCTGAGTGCCTATCGTACACCTTGAACACAAATTTACGTGCAAGCGTACGTACGTGTACGGTCAATAAAATTTTTGTAAGATATAAAATTAAATCTTACATTTCAACCCATAATTATATCAATTTTTTAGTATATACAGTTGGGGAATAAAGTACTCGTGATTTTCTATATTAATCATAAAAAAAAAAAAAATTATATGAAAAATATTATAAAATTATCAATGAAGGAAAAAAAATCACGAAAACTTTATTTTCTAACAGTATATACACCCACCCCACATAAGATAATAAGTTGATTTATAATTTGCTCTGTGCAATTGGTTGACTCCAAATTAATTTACTATTCTTAAATTCATTCTTAAAGTCTATAAGTTATTTTTCAGAAAATATAATCTTTGTGAATAAATTAGAAGGTTTATATTATGGACATTTCCTAATTGGCACCTTTAGATTTATAGCCCAATTTATTTAAATTTTCTCTAAGTGCCTCAATTGTTTTTTCTATATGTTTTCTACGGGGTTCAGTTACACTAATACCCATATGACTAAATGAAAATTAGGATATAAAAAATTAATAATACATGTATATAGTCTACAATCCAGCCTAAAACGAGTAATAGAATACTTACCCAACCCTGAAGTATTGTGAAGCAATCTTTCTATGCAGACCACCTGCAATAACGACACCATGTTCTGCTACCCTGGGAATAAGGTCAGTTGCTTTGATGCCTTCAGGATAGTAAACAGCTGTCATTCCGTTAGCAGAAACTTCTCTATTTTTTGGAACCTGTGATAATTAAAACACAAAGATTATTGAAACCATTATTTTATAAAAATTACGATATTATAATAATATAAATTTTTTATAACATTCATACAAATTTCAATCCTAATTCCTCAAGAGAATCTTTGATCCAATTGCTGACTTCTTTGTGTTGCTGGAAACGTTTCTCAAGCGGAATTGAGGTTATTTGTTTAAGACTTGTATGAAGTGCATATATTAACTGAACTGGTGGAGTGGCAAAGTACATTCCTTTCCTGCTTTCATAGGAGTTCATAACTATATTGAAATAAAAATGACTGAAATTAATTTTTCTTAATTCATACTTTCATCAACAACAATAAATATAAATAATAATAAATAATAATACTTGGTAGCCAGTTATTCCATGAAGCATAATAACTCGTAATTGAAGTTTTTCGGTTACTGAATACACTCTAATCAGCAAAAAAGATAATTTAACAACGATAATTTGAATAGAACATAATTAAAAAAAAAACAAAAAGAGCATCAATCTTACCATAGCTTTTTCGCTTGCAATCAAGATACATAATCCTGGAGGAACACCAATAGCTTTTTGACTTGCGGTTAAAACGATATCAATACCCCACTCATCCACACGAATTTCTTCGGATCCAACAGAACATACGCCATCAACAATCACCAATGTTTCAGGAGAATGCCGTTTAACTAAATCCGCTATTGCTTTTACATCAGAAAGTACTCCAGTAGATGTATCTACATGAGTGATAGTTATAGCCTTAAATTTTTTTGAGATAAGTGCTTTATGAATTTCTTCAAGAGCCGGACGATCGCCGATATCAGCCTTTACTTGCGTAACTTTGGCGCCATATGTTCCAAGACTATATTTTGAAATATTAAACGTTTAGTAAAATTAGTAAAATTGATCAAAAAACTATAAAATAAAAAATGTGCACTCACCAATCAGCAAATGAATCACCAAAGTAACCAGTATTTACAACTAATACATCTTCACCCGGTTCTATTAAATTCGAAGAAACCATATCCCAACCAAGAGTTCCGGAACCAGAAACAACAAAAGGTTGACCATTAGCCGTGAAAAATATCTTGCGCAAAAGTTCAATTGATTCACCAAATATAGGGATAAATGAAGGTGAAACATGAGAAATTGCTGGTGTAGACATTGATAATAGTACATCTTCATGAAATTCCACTGGGCCTATTGATTCGATTATAAAATTAAAAATCTCAATAATGAGGAATTATCAAAGATTAAAACAAATTCATCTTTACCAGGAATCATGCATAGTTTATGATTTTCTTGAGACTCCATCGTAGAAAAATATTTCTTTGAATTGAAAAAGATCGGAAAATTGATTAAAGGCTTTTCACCGGTATTTAAGCTAGTTAAGCGGCGACTAACAAGCCTCAATGAGTTGAATATAAAATGTTTCCGCAAATTTAACATGATAGATCAAGATTTTGATTTATGTATTTATTATCAACAGCATATGTACATTCGTACCACTAATTCAAAGTTGGATGGTGTGTCACACAATTCTAAATGGAATAGCGATTGTTGAAAAAATAAGAAATGATTTGACGAATGTGTGTTGATACATGATTACTCATTAAGACACATAATTACTCAATAAAAAAAAAAAACTAGATTCTATTTCGGAGTAAACCAGAATTTTTATCCAATCGTTATTTTAAAAGCGAATCTGATCTCTTACAGTATAGGTAACTCCTCTAATTAAAAGTATGTATATATTATTAAGGATATGCAAAAGACAGAAACAATCTTGGTGGTGGCTGGCTTTTAAGACGATTTCTCTTTATTTAGAATAGATTTACGGAAGTGATAAACCTCACTGTAATTGGGTAACATTTTAAATCATAATATATTAACGCTAAACTGATACTGTATACGTAAATAAGTTATATTAGTATATAGCTTATACATACAGAAATATCAAAATAAGTTAGCATTCGGACTACGTAGACCGACCGATCAACAATCTAATTAATTACTACTGGACGAAATTGTTTAAGTCTTAAGAGACTTATTCCATGAAAGAAATTACTAATTATAGTTAATAGATCGATCTTAACTAACGTATGTGCGTACATGTACGTACTTCTTTTCTTAGTATTAGTGTTTAAAGAATTACATCTTTGTGAACAGCGAAATTTCTAAATCATCCTGAAAGATCATACAGTATATGAGTCACGTATAAGTTTTATTTCAGGTACTGTACATGCCTTAATCAAACAGTGCTTTCTTGAAATTTGAGTCAGGAGACGGAATAATTTCTTTGAATTAAGGATTAAGTCCACTTAACCATTTAAAATTGTTCCATAGTTCTGAGCAGAATCATGTTTAATCAAAAGGCTAAACTGTTAAACTGCTAAATGATTAGAAAATTTTAGACTGTTCCAATCCTTATTTTGAATAATTTTATCTACCACCAGGAAACAAAGTCCTAAAATAACATGTAGTATAATGATACGTAATACCTGTATTATTTATATATCTTTCTGATGCCGATACAGGTAAAAAACTTGGCGTATCGGTATTGACCATTAAAAAGTCTTGGCATGCCGCTAGTATACTATAATATATTTACAGCAATAAACAGGATTATTTTCTCAATTAATTTTATTAATTTTTAGAATAATTGTGATGAGAACTTCGATAAGTTTTAGGCATTTTTAAGCCAAACCATTATAACCAAAATCATCTATCTACCTACATAAACATCGATTAAAGTTACTTTATTGTAATTCACGATTATATAATCTTGCAAATTTTAGATCTGGGTACCAAGTGAAAACCTAATTGTAGAATAATACAGGTGACTCTCGTTAATATCAACCTAAGCCACAAGACAAATTTTAATAAATTTTTATTTCAGATTCCTTCATCCCCCATATATATCAACTTTAATATGATTTTTATATTTTTATATTATACGTAGTAATCTATACTCAAACTTCCTAGTTTTCACTCAGACTCTTATTTAATGATCCATAAAATGATTTCGAATAGGAGAATTCTATTATAAATAATCAACTAATAAAAATAAAATTCTATCACAACCCTCAGTATAGTGTTGTCAGTTCGAAATTGTTTTGAGCTTGTGGAAATACTATATGTCACTCCGGTTATACCGACATCTGGATATAACGACATCATAGAAAAATCTTTCTATACTGACATTTTTTTTCAAAATTTTAATATAAAATGTCGGTATAACTCACTGTATCGACATTTTGAAAATTTTTACTAATGTCTCAAAAATGTCGATATAACCAGAGTTACGTGTAATACTGAAATTCTAAATTATGCTGAAATGTTTGGATAATCAAAATGTCAATAATGTCGAAATGTTTAAATAAAAAATATATAAACTTATTTATTAGCAAGTATTCGAACTTGTTTATTTGGTGAATTTCACGCTGTCTTAAAATAGATTTGATTCAAAAACGGTTCTTTCTCTTATAAAGCAGGTTTAATTATATAATATTGGAATATACAATGATAAGAATTAAATATATAAGTATTCTGTATTTAAAACTATCTATCAATTAAATTTATTTGCAGTCATACCTGAGTTGAGTTTATTTTTTTTAATAAAAGGGTGATATTAACAAAAATAATCTGTAATTGTAATTATTCTAAAATCTATATTTGATCATCTGCTTGATATGTTTTTAAATAGTAATATTATATTTATAAATATAATTATTATTATTTTTTTAAATGAACATATTATAGTGTAAAAAAATTTTTACAAATATTAATAAAAAATAAGAAAATATTTCATATATTTGCATTATAATATATCAATTTTTTAAAATAAATAAAATATAAATATAATAAATTTTTTTTTAATATTAAAGGTAAGTATTTGTGACCTAGACTTTTATTAATAGTATATTTTAGTTTTGTAATTGCATTATAACAGTTACAGAATGCAATTATAAGAAGAGTGTACAACTAGTTACTTATACAATTTTAGTTATTGTCTAATTTAAGTAGTTCATCTGAAGGTTCTACACTAGCTGTTATATTTAGAACTAGAAGCCTGCATTAGGTCCTGCAGCCTGGCCTGGCCTGGCTCACAAATTTTTGTAAACCAGGCCAGGCTGGCAAAAAAATATTAACTCTAAATACAGACTAAATCAGATCAAAAAAAAAATTTTAACTCTAAATGCAGGTCAGGCCAGGCCTCAAAAATAGGCAATTTACAGACTCTTACTTAGAACCTACTTATAATTTTTCTATTTAAACACTTTGGTTTCTGTATCTATTTATCTACTTACTTTATCAACTGTTTCAGTTTTTACTAATGCAAATATATTATAATTACTAGGTTTTTAAAGTAGTTCACTTATATGGGAAATCTTTGACCTTGTACTAAACTCATTAGAGCTTTCTATTATTTAATTTCTAGCTGGTCTAATATTGATATAGTTAAGATTAACACTTATAATCAGAATAACTCTTAAACTGCTATACTCTTATAGAGTTCATATAATTTCAGTATTTTTTTTTACAATCTTATTAGTATCTTGTATATTCTTGCAAGTTCTTCTATATTACTAATTTAGTTAGTTCTGTATAATGTAACTTCATACTGGTTCAATTAATAGTCAAGTTGATGAACTCTTTATTTAGAGTTCTTATCTGTATAAGTTATTTGTCTTAAGTTTTTGTCTTTGTATTAAGATTTTTATAAATAGTACTGTTAAAAATTATACTATCTCTTACTTAAAATTTTCAAATAGAGTTTTTATAAAATATACACTTTCTAAATTTATTTATATAATATTGCATATTTCCAAAATTAGTCTTGGTACAATTAGAATTATAGAATTATAATCTTAGATATTTCAATTAAGTTACTAAAATAGAATCATTTTTCAAATTTTTACTGCTAATAAAATTTAAACCCTGGACCTATTGCTTAGAAAATAACAATCTAACTACTATATTAGAATTATTATTCTCTAAATATAATAAATTTAATTTAATATAAAAATATTATTATATTTAAAATTAATAAAAATAATTTATTTAGAAAACAAAATAAATTATTTTAAAAAAAAAATTATATAATAATTAAAATTTTTTAAAACTTTAATTTAATATTAATATATTTTTTATTAAAATAATTGTTTTTTATTTTTTAAATAAACTTGTTTAGCAACTTAAATTATATTTATAATAATATTAGATTTGTAATTTTTAAATTTTTTATTAATCTAAATTTTAATTAATTAATTTTTTTTTGATATAATATAATACAAAAATTAATTATTATATTTTTTTTATATTAAGATAATCTTTTTAGTCTTTTGACTTTTATTAATCACTTTTTTAGTAATATGATTCTATGAACTACTATGAAGAAGTATATAATTAACTATATATATAATTTTTCTATATTACTTATTTAAGAAGTCTGCCAAAAGGTTCTCTACTAATAACTATATCTAATACCTTTGCTTAGATGTTTTATTTTAAACTCTTTAAACTTGCAACTTGTATTAACATTACTAGGTTATATCCAGATTATTATCTTAATCTTAGGACTATTTTATTCTTAAAGTAAACCTCTCAAAGTCTTCTGTACTTATTGTTATAACTGATTTAAATATTATTATAGTAGAATTAATATTTACAATTAGAATTATATTATTTAAGTACTATGTCTTTGTAGAGTTTACTCAAACTTCAGCTTCTATTTTATAGTATAATTTTAGTATATTAATATACAGTACCTCTGTCTTTTGTTAAGACTTCCAATTTAGATAGTTTGTATAGGACTATAATCAATTTATTAATATATCAAATCAGTCTGATATTCTTTTTTTTAGTTCATTTTGATAGCCTAGTTAATGGTACCTCTAAGCTTTTTTCAATCTAAAGGTTCTTGTCTATCTAGGTAAAATAATTTTGGTATTGTTTTCTCTAGCTAGTCTTTATAATAGCACTGTCAAAGATCTAGTTATTTTTTTATTTGGATTTTTCTAAATAGACTTTTTGTTAACTAATTTTAACAGATTTATATACTTACAAGAACTTATCTAGTATTTGTATTACCTAATTGTTAGTTTGCATTCCTCTGTATAACTACACAGATACCTTATAATCTGTTAGTCATACTGATATAATTGCTATTACAGGTATTTTAACCTAATTGTTGATAACTTTTACTATAATATAAATATTATATAGATGATTTTCTAAATTTTTACTATTGATGGAATTTGAACATGCAACTTACAACTTGAAAATTGACAATCTAACCACTTTACTAGGTTACCATATCTTATTAATTATTATTTTAATTAACTAAAATTAGAGAAACACTATATTAAAATTTTGCAAAAATTTTTTATTAAAACTTTAAAATTAATTTTATATATAACAAAATTTAAATATTATAAACAAACTAG